AACCAGTGAGTCCTAAGTTAACAGTTCACCCCAACTTCAAGGACATGGTATGAGACATGGTTTCTCATCTTCCTGCTGCCCTCTGTGGGAGTCTCCTGAAGCAGGAACCTCCTATTCCTATTTGCATGTACACAATGCCCTTTAAATAGGTAATAAAAGACGGGTCTTGAAGCCCAACTCAAACAAAAATCCCATCTTACACAAACAAAAGCTGAGGCTCAGGAGGGTGTATCCATCAACTCCACATCACCTCTCAGCTCAGGGCTGTGTCCACCAGAACAGATGCCTGCCTCCTAACAACGATGCAATGTTCCCAAATTACGCAGAGTGTAATGCCAGATATTATCATAAATTACATCACAATGCTTCCCAAGACAAAGTAGTACAGTTTTCATGACAGTCAGGTATACATAAAAATGCTACAGAACTGTTTGTGTGGTAAAATCTCCTTTCCCAGGGCTGGAAACATGTCTCAGAAGCTAAAGGCACTGACTGCTCTTCCAGAGGACCCAGGTTCACATCCTAGCACACACACATGGCAGTTCAAACTGTCTGTAACTCCATTCTAGGGGATCTGACAGCACTAAGGGTACCAGGCATACACATGGTGCTCATGCTTATATGCAGGCAAAATATCTATGCACATAAAATAAAAATATTTTTCTAAATTTCTTTTTTCTTTTCTTCCCCAGCTACACTAGAAATTGTGTCAGCACCCCTGTGACAGGATCCATGTTCTCACAGACACAGGAGAGGTCTAGAAGAGCCCCACCAGGCAGCAATGAGCTCTCCTCGTGGGCAGGAAACCTTCCCCGTTTTATTTACTTGGCACTGCTATGTGTTTTACAACGAACATGCCCCCGTTGTGCAATGTGCGAACAGTGGAGCAAGAAATAATAACAGTTGTTCTTTACTGAGTGTGCAATAGGAACTGGGTTAGGTCCCTTATGCCTACCACAGTATCTCAGCCTCCCCGTGGCTCTGTGATAGGGGACTGTGATTATAGTGCTGTGTGAACGGACTGACGCTAAAAGACACCTCGTCGCTGTTAAGTGGCAGAGCCAGCATCGGATATAAGACCCAACATGAAGCCATGTGCTCATTTACTCACAGGGGTCATTTCTTTCTTTCTTTCTTTCTTTTTTTTTTTTTTTTTTGCTTTGCTCCACAGAAAAGGGGGCTATGACCAGTCACAGGGATGGCACCAATTTCTCCTGAGCTGCTTCAAAGAGGAGAAAATGTTGCCCAGGCTGCTGACTCTGCTAAAGCTCCCTCCTATCTCCTGGCCCCTCCCCCTACTCCTCTGTCCTCACCATTCTTGGCAATGATCTCTCCATGTGTGAATTCCATTAAAGGCCGGCTCATTGCTATTTCGGGCTGTGCATTAGCACGAGGACTCTGATTTGATGGGAAAAAGCCAGACACCTCAGAGTGATGAAAAACAAATTTCAATATCCTTCCCTCACCATTGTCCCAGAAGCCCTTGCCCATGACTCCTGGGAGGCCAGAGCATCCAATGGCTGAGGAGACATAAGGAAGTGAGACGGGGCTCCTGAAACCCTCACCACCTACAGGACCTCTAAGCTTGACTCGTGCCTCCTTGAAACCCATCTCCCTCCTTCACATCCCCACTCAAATTCCCCAGGGTCATTCCTGAATACCGCTCATCAACATCTGCTCCCTCCACCCCTGCTCTTCCTGAGCCCAGTGTTTTGCTTCCTGCATACAGTTCTTATCATCTGATGCACTGTATACTGACTGTCCGCTTACTGTTTGTTTCCCCTCCCACTGTAACAAGAGCTCCACCCTAGCAGAACTTGTTCCCACAGTTCAAGCCCCCAGTGCCTATGCGGTTCTGGGAACGTCACAGGTGACAACAGACGGTAAAGAGCGAAGGATTCTACCAGGAGGGTAAGGGAGCAGAGCTCAGGATGTTTCTGAGTACGGGGCTTAGATTCCCTAGATACCGCAAGGAAGAAATGTTAACACTGTAAGTTGAAAACTCAGAAAAAAACATCTCCTCACGCCAGAGTGGTTTTGAATCTGGGCTTGCCGGGCACTATGAATGAGAGGGCTTGGGGAAATAAACACACCAGGAAGTTGTGTGCAGTTGGAGTCGATTCAGCTCAGTAACATGTGTGCAAAAACAAAAAGCCCAATCTGGATGAAAACAGCAGGAAGTCCTTCCCCAGGGCCACCTGGTGAGGTCACGTGCCTTGGCTCTGCTGCTTCCATTCTGAACCAGTCTCCAGCCTCCAGAACTCAAGGAGGCCAGGAACCATATCTTGACCCACAGGCTTACTGGGAGTTGCTGGCCAGGTGTACACAACAGGGTGCACCTGTGGGAAATCCCTAGCAGGGGTATTAAAAACCACACAGGACCTGCCCAGCAAAACCTTGCCTTCCCTAGTTCAGTCCTAGAACCCACATAAAAAAGCCAGGCATGGTAATGAGTGCTTGTAATCCTAGAGATAAGGGGAGCCAGGCAGATCCCTGGGGCTCTCTGGCCAGCAGGACTGCAGTGAACTCCAAGACAATGAGAGATCTTGTTTCAAAATAAGGTAGGCAACATTCCTGAGGAGTGACATCTGAGGTAATCAATCCCTTGACCTGAGCATACAGGCATATGGACAAGGGCACACACACACACACAATTAAAACTTAATTTTAAAAAATCACCATATCTGACAATTCCATGTGCTCACATGATCTGCTTTGACCACTCCATCCATTCCACACGGCCCACCCCAGGAGGTGGTCCTTACTACTGTCCTCTCAGATTTCAGCAGCTTGCCCTGGCTCACATGTTAACAACTCCAGATCCAAGCCAGTGACACAACTTATTTCCTTCCACTCACCGTCCTCACATGCGTGCTGAGGCTTTAGGCGAGCTGAGGTTTCTGTTGCTATGCATGAGACTGCGGCATTCCATAGTCTCTGAGACATCTTCCTGTTGTAATTTTTTGAGATCTTCTGCAGGAGTCCCAACACAGAAGGAAAGGGCAAGGATCGAAAGCCCCTGCTTGGCTGACCCAGCTAAGGATATGCCCCTGACTACATCATCAATTCAACAGGCCAGAGGAAGGTTAAGCCCAATATCCATGTGGGGTAAACAAGACAGACACAGGTGGCAAACAGAGCACAGCGACGCTACCCAGCAGAGCCAGTAAGGCACCAAAACAGATCCCTGAGACAGATCAAGCACAAGCTAACCCTCCCTGGGCCTTTGCTTATAGGATCATAGCACCAAAATCAAAGAGAAGCCCTGAGCAAGGACACGCTTCCCATACCGGTCAGTCAGACCAACCCAGGGTGTCGAAGGAAAGAAACATTCTGAAAAACCAGTAGAACGCTGGTTTAGCTCAGGGAAAAAGGAGCCAACATGGCGGTGATGCTCATCTTCTTGGTGTGCTGAAAGCCAGTGTGCCAGAGGCAGAGGGAAGAGGGGGACAGAGCGAGCCCTAGGTTATGTAGCAATTTCCTCCATGATAATAAACCCCAGATCTTTAAGACATAAGGTGTTTGCTCTAAAGCAGTGATTCTCAACCTGTGGGTCATGAACCCTTTAGGGATTGCATATCAGATAACCTGAATATCAGATATTTATATTATGATTCATAACAGTAGCAAAATCACAGATATGAAGCAGCAACAAAATAATTTTATGGTTAGGGATCATCATAACATAAAGAACTGTATTAAAGGGTTGCAGCATTAGAATTGAAAACCACTACTCTAGAGAGAGTGAAAACACTCCATTCTGCTGGGGAAGTTCATTAAATTCAGGAAGTAAACAACTCAAGGCTTCAAGGAAGTTCCTGAAAATGGCCAGAATCACTAGACCCCTTGTCCTCAGCTGTATAGAAGCAGTATATAAGCAACTGTATATAAACTGTATGAGGACTACCTCCCTCCCCGAGGCTCAGCCCAGCCACCTGGACAAGGCTCAGACCACCTGAGCTGCCTGCAGGCCATGCAGTGGGCTCTGGGCTTCCAGGCATTCATAAGCTGCTACCCATGTTTGGCAGGCCTTGCTGAAACTGCTATCTTTTGAGTCATTTCTGTACCTGTTGGTAACCCCTCACCCCGTTACTGTAAGTAACCCAGTAAAAATTACTGGTTCACAAAGTTGGGCTTTGGCGGCACCCTTACTTTGGCCTATCGCTGGTAAGCAGATGCTTGCTCACATGACCCCAAGAGTAGTGTCACAAAACACCCTGTCCCTGTCTCAGTGGATGTTGTTGCCCTGTCGCCACACTGGGGACTCCACTGATCCTTTTCTCCAAGTGTCCAAAGAGACCAAATTTGGAATAAATCCTTCTTCACCCTTTCCACCCAAGCCAAGCAGCCATTCCCACCCTTTTGGATGGGGAAGGCCTTGCTCTAGCCCTTTCTTGGCAGCAAGTCTTTCATTACTCATCAGCTTCCAGGGTGTTTTGGAGGCTGCCAAGAGCAGACAGGCAGCTCTCCAAGTCAAGCATCCTTATCTACAGCGTCTATGTGGACAACACAAGTGGGACCATTGGTGGGGAAATTATAAAGGCCTTAAAAGAGTCCCTGGCCAAGTACGAGGAGCTCTAGGAGGCCAGGCGGGCGGGACTGAAGGGAGAATGGGCAATCAATCGATGGACGCAGCCAGTCAGTGTCGTCTGCTCTTCCCCACCATCCATGAATCGAGACAGTTATGCCGGAAGGCAAATCAATGCGGGGATATTTCTGAACTAGGCCACCGCCCAGCATGAATGAGGTTAGGGAAAAGCTAGACTCGTGGAAGCCAGGAGGCTTCAGGCAATGCACTTCTCAGCAGAATCTTGGGTAGATAAAAGAATCAGGGTCAGAGGTGCCAAATCCCTGCCCAGCCTGCTGCTTCTCCCTGTCTCCTGCTAATCGCCTTCACTTCCTGCCGTACACTGAGCTGGAGCTAGGTCGGCAGCTGCTTCCAGTCCCTTCCCGCCCTTAGACACACACACACACACACACACACACACACACGCCTGCAGTCAACTCCAAGAAGCACCGGAAACACAGCCTAAGGAAATCCAAGCAGGATGTGAAGCAGCCCAGCCATCTCCCAGCGGTCAAGAGAGACCAAGGAAAACCTCTGTCCTGGCAGGATGCCCCACAAAGGGACCAAGGATGGAGAGCTTGGGGGCCACACCACTAAACTTCTTCCTTTCCAGCTGTGACAGCTGCATCAGACTTGGCATTGAAGGTGAGTTAACTGGTTTGCGTCAGACAGAAGAAGGGAGAAAGCCACTTACTCATTCTTCTCCAGGTCCAGGATCAGCTCTCGCCCTTCAGCCATGACCCTGAGCTCCGCTGTGAGTGGATGCTAAAAACAACAATGAAAGGATGTCAGTTCCTGGAAGCAGGGACTGAGGCTCCCAGGGCCTAGCACCGGATCTGACACAGTGCCTGCACAGGGATCCTCCGGAAGCCAGCGAAGAAAGGTCATTAGCCTTTCCAGCCTGAGCTTGAAGTGACCCAAGTCTCAAAACAATCCAAAGCTTCCCCATCTGCTTTCCCCTAAGAAGCAAAGTGGAGAAATTCAGGCTGAGGCTCAAGGCTGAGCAGGTGCATGCAGTCTTGTGAAGGTCACACAGAGAGACCTGATCCTCAGAGGTAATTCCCTGGACAGTCAGACAGGTTGGTGTGCAGTATGACATCTGTGGTTGTGTGAACCTGGACATGTTACCAGGTTACCCTACTCCTCTGTTTCCTCTTTCCAGCCCTGGAGTGCTAGTAACTAACCTTACAAGGATCATTAAGGACCAGATGAGAAAATGAATGTAAGTAATGTATCACAGTGCCTAGTTCAAAGGAAGTTCTCAATGCCATATTAGCTGTCATCTTAAAAACCACCAAAGAGCCTTCTACAAAGTGAGTTCTTTCATATTTTGTTTGATTTTATGTGAGCCCTCAATTTGGGAACTCCAAGCACCTCAGAGGTGGCAACAAAGAGCACCAGCATTTTAAACAAACATAAGCAATTTGCCAGTGGCCAAACACACCATACTCCCAGTACAGATCACCTAAGATATGCAAAGGGACAACAAGCATGAAGAGTATGCTGAACATCATGGGGAAACTCCCTCCTCTCCCCATGGTGGGGGGGGCATTCAAAACAATAGGATACCGTATGTAGCCAGAGGGTGGTGGCACATGCCTTTAATCCCAGAACTCTAGAGGCAGGCAGATCATCGAGTTGAGGCCAGCCTGGTCTACAGAGCCAGTTCCAGGACAGGCTCCAAAGCTACCCAGAGAAACCCTATCTTGAAAAACAAAAGAACTAGGGGAGAGAGGGCATCCTACACAAAATCAAAAAGGGACAAAGACCATTTAAAACTGTAAATCCCAATGGACACTCTCAAATCCAATAACTGAGAATGTGAACTTAGTCCAACTGTCTGGAAAGTAATTTGACAATATGGACTAAAAGTTTTTAAAGGCTTAACTTAGCAGCATAAGACTGTCAGACAGGAACCAATGACACTACTTGCTTTTTCTTTTTCTTTTCCTTGCTGTGTACATGTGTACTGTATTCAAGGGCATGAGTGCATGTGTACATTCATTCGTGTGTGTGTGTGTGTGTGTGTGTGTGTGTGTGTGTGTGTGTGTGTGTGTGTGTGTACACGTGTGTGTTAGGGATGAAACCCAGGACCTCAAGCAAACATGCTACAAACTGAGTCACATCCACAGCCCAGTCACAGTCCCTTTCTTAATTCCTGCTCCTCACGTTTCCAGCTGGGGTCTGGGCTTCGGACTTGAATATCACCAAGGCCTCTGATGATCAAGTACCTTGTGCAATACCTAATTAATTCTGTTGCCTCATCTTATGAAGGGTATGAGGGCAGGAAGCAGGGAGACAGATGAGTGCCCAGGCACTTTCACTAGAGACTCCCTTCCCAGATTCTGAGGTGCCGACTCAGCACATGGCCAATGCCCACTGTGATTGCTGCCCATTTGCCCTGGGGACTTCTGGAGTAAGAGCCCTAGCCAGTCGCACTGAGAATCAAGAACACACAGCCCCAGTAGGCATTTGAATACATGACAACAGAACTCTAGCAAGTCCTTACCCAAGGGGCAGACACTCATGTGACAGTCCACAGAAAAACAGAATGTTGGCACAGTGCAAGCAGTGCCATGTGCCCCACACAGAGACACAACCTGCCACATGAGAACTAATATTTATTTTTATGTAGGTAATCCAAAAATACTTCTCTGTTTCTGGAGGGTACTCAGACAGGAGACTGAAAATCAGATGTTCCCTGTTTCCAGGGAACAGTTCAAGCAAAACAATGAAGTCGCATTTCACGGCTCTGTGAAGCTTGCCCATCCAGCTCTACTACAGACTGCCTTCCTCCTGGAATTCCAAAACTGCCTGAATAAGGGACATTATCACTGCTCCTGGGAAGCCTTGGAAGGTGCCCACTGCTTGTATTTCCCTAAAGAAAGACCCAACGTCCTTTCTGTTTAGGGCAAAATTAAACAGACCTCCAACCCCATGCCATCTGAGAGGCCTATCCTGTGCATATGCATCATCCTAAAACATCTGGATCAGGGCAGCATTTAAGTGATGTCTAATAAGACAGCGAATTCCTCAAATGCAAGTAAGAGTCATAGTGAACTAACCCACACACTCTCTCTCTTATTCAACAAATATTTATGGTGCCAGGCACTGGGCTGACTACCCCTGCAGAACACAATGAGCCACCCTCTGGGCAGACAATGGCTGGGAACAAAGACAGGATCTGGTCCTCCACTTTGTTTCTCAGGCCCTTCCTGAGGATGCCCAGGATCCAACATCTGGAGGGAACAAAGGAGCCTCTATAAAAAGTATCATATCCATTCTTCGGCAATAATGGTGAGGGGTGAAATATTCAAAACCTTAAATTTAAAAAGAATAATCTGCCCGAGGATGGCTATTTAGTAATTTGTCTAATGTTTCCGGGGGTTATTTTCAGCCTTTCCTACTTTAGGATGGAATGAGTTCAGGCATTTTTTTTCTTTGCTTTTAGGGTAAAAATGTTTCCTTCTTTTATTGCCCTGAAATTTCTCTGTAAGTCCCCTAACTGTACTCAAGCCAGAGACATGACTGGGGAAATGTCTGTGTGACTCTGCAGTACCTTAAGGAATTCTGGGCGTTTCTCATCTGTTTATCTTTCCAGATTCCAAGGCCACAATTGTCTGAAGTCTTTCCTGACACTTCTTCCCCCAGCTTTAATCTGGTTCCTATCTGTTGCCCAATGAATTACAGGCCATTTGGCCCCCTCAGAGATCACAGAAACCAATCCTTCAAACCGGGCATGGTAGTCTATCCACATAATCCTTGCACTGGGAAGATGAAGCAGGAGGGCCAGAGTAGGGCATGTATCGAGACCCTACCAAAAAAGAGAAAGTCAGCCCTTTTCCATACCTCTGTTCCTCTTTATTCCCACTAAAACTGATTTTACAAATGAGGAAGTGCAAGTCATCTGTAAAGCAGAAGGCCCTGGAACAGGCTACTGTCACGCAACAGAGTTCCCTTTCTTGTCATTCCTAACTCGTCATCTGAACAGAGCCAAGGACGCTGTTCTTAACCGTATTCCAATTGCCTTGATAACACCTGTGAATTTTGCTAGTGTTCTGGCTCAAGGAGCCTGCAGGATTCCTTTTAAAGATATATAACCTAATCTGAGCTCCCTATCCTGACTCTTACTAAATTAGCTGAGTACAGTGGCACATGTCTGTAATCTCAGCATTGGAGAAATAGAGGTGGGAAGGCAGGGAATTACAGGTTGTAAACTGCAACTACCACTGAGACCGTCTCAAAAGAGAACTGGGCAAGGCATGGTGGCACTCTGGTATATGCCTATAATCCTAGAACCAGGGGAAGTCATTCTCAGCTACATCATGAGTTAGAAGGTAACCTGGGCTACAGAAGATCTCTCCTCAGACAACAAAAAGACAAAAAGAAACAAAACAAAAGTTCCAGTCAAGATCTGTGACAAAATCACATTGGCACTTAATCTGTGTCGGTATGTTTTAAGGTTGTGTGTGTGTGTGTGTGTGTGTGTGTGTGTGTGTGTGTGTGTGTGTGTTTGTACATGACTGTTTTCCCTGCATATGTGTATGAGCACCATGTGCATGGCGGGTACCCTCTCAGAGACCTGATACCTTTGGGTCTTCTTGAATTGGAGTTACAGATGGCTGTGACCCACCCCTGTCCCCTGCAAGGACAGAAAATGCTTTTAGCGGCTGAGCCATCTCTCCAGCCCCAGTCTGTGTCACCATTACTGTGGATTTTCATTTCCTCAACTAAAAGGGCTGAGGAATGGTCTACAAGTGTGTCATACAGTGAAGGAAAGTCCCAAACTAACACAGTGAAAGGTTAGGACCAGAAGCAGAAGCTGGGGTGATGCTTGTGGTCCCATGCCTCAGCAAGTCTTCACTCCTGCTTCTCCAACAGAAGGGCTTGGGAGGCTTACCTGTCCTTTCCCGGGGCTTTCAGAAGTCCACCACTGAGGTATTATGAGTTCATGCTGTAGCTGGGGGCTGCCTTCTTCACTTCCTCCTGCCAACACAAGACAGCACAGCCCTGAGAATCCCAGACCTCCACACCCCAGGCACTCAGGAGCAGGCAGGCACACTGCTCCAGACCTCTTGGGAGGCAATCATTGCTGCCTGAAAAGTGCTCAGCCCAAGGGTATCAGAAGACCTGCTGGGCTCAACTGCATCTTGGTGACAAAGTGATAAAGACAAGGCAAACAAGATCTGCCAAGAGACAGGAAATGAACTGACATTCTCAGGTGATGGTAATTGCCTTAGAGAAAAAATAATATCATGCCACACAGGATAAAGGGACACCTAGCAGGGGGCCTGTTTTAAACAGGATGGCCAGTACTGGTGGTGTTTAATTGAGACATCAGGAGCCAAAGGAAGACAGATGTGTAAAAAACAAAAACAAAGAAAAAAAAAAAACAGGGGAAGAGCAAAGAGTAGCAAGTGCAGAAATGGCCTTGGTCATGAAAGGGAGCAAGGAGGAAGGGGATATAGCCTATAAGTCAGGGGACATTGGTAAGTATGTATGCAGGGGAGATACTCTAGTAAATCAATGGAAGTCGGTAAGAAATGTGCTAAGCAAGACAGCTGTTCGTGTAATGATACAAAGGCATGAAGAGGGTCTGGATATGATTATAAATAGACTCAGAAAGTTCTGGGTGTCTTCAAATACAAGAGCAATAGGATCCCTATTAGTTTTGTTTTGCTTTCAAAGATGACTCTGGGTGGGGAGTGGAGGAGGGGAACAGGGATAGAGGAGAAGCAGGAAGGCAGGCGGCAACTCTGGAGAAACACAGGAGCCACTTCCTGGAGAGTAATGAGTGGTGAAATTCCGGGTGGAAATTCCGGGTGGAATCAGAAGGCTCACACTGGTTACCACTGAGCTTTAATTATTTCTCTTTGGAGGTGATGGTCACCTCCCTGGGAGGTCTTACAGGGTCACAGGTGAGAAAATGTGATGTGACACCCCCCACCCCCACCCAGCCTGCAAACCATTAGTGTTAATTTGCAAATCATGAACCTTAACCATCTTACTGGCAAGTTCACAGTTGGATTCATTTCATGTCCCTGTCTCCAAATCTTCTCACACACATTTCTCCCTTCTCCTCACCACCCTTGGAGGTAGCCAGTGAATTCCCAAGAAAAGAGGCGGGAACCACACGAGAGCCATGTTCAAGAATGGGAGACATCAACACTAGTTACAGATCATCTTTTTTAAAATGGAGAATTTCCTGGATCCTAAGCAAGTGAAGTCTCTGAAAGGAGGTAAACGCAAAGTCTCCCAGGGATGCAGCTGAGCACACCAATGTTCTGTTCCTGCTAGTCCAAGCACATCAATCACATGAATGATATAAAAGATGACTGTGCTGGACATTATGGCACACATCTGTAATCCCAGCAAGAGACCACCCTTGGCTATGAGTTTGAAGACCTCCTAGGGCTACACAGCATCCTGTCTCAGGGAAGAACCTTTAAAGGTGGATGGAGTGGTGGGATTATCATTGATTAAATTTCTTGTCAAATGACTAATGTGATATATTTGTAATCAAAATATATCCAAAGAACTTGTTGCTTCCACTTCAGAAGGGATGATACATTCACATATTTATTCTGTATATCCTGAGTTATTAACCCTATGCCACTATGCTTGGTGCTTAGTGTTCATGGTAGAACAAGTCGGGCATAGCCCCTGCTATAGTGACTGATAAATCTTGACTCTTAAACAAAAGGAGCGGTGTGGTGTCTAGAACAATGTCTAAAGATCTCAGGATCATGAAAAGTACTAAACACAATGTCAAGTCTAAACAAAGAGTACAGTTTAAGAACACAACACAGCGTGCAAAGAATGGCTCACAGCTTGGACATAAGGCAAGAAGACGCACGTGGGATCATCTTTCCAGCACCAGATCTGAAGCATTGTCTAACAAAAGGATGGGCGACTTGCCTAAGAGAAGGTTATCTATGGCTTCATTTGCTTTTTATGGAAGGAAGGTCTGTGCTCGGCGAAGTCTATCATTAACTGTGCACCTATGCTGAACAAAGATGCAGGTGCCTTCAGGATAGCGGAGAGATAAGTAACAATTACGTGATTCTCTGTCTCAGCCTCGGACTGCACTACATCAGTCCCCTTATCACTAGGGCTCAGCTAATGATTTTTAACCAGCTTTAATCCACCTCTTCTGCCACCTCACAGACCAAGTCCTACGGGGAGAAAAATCTCTGTTGCATTTGTACGAGAGCCAGGAGTTTAACTTTGGGGGGAAATTATATTTCTGCGGTCTCTTGGTAGAATTTACAGTCATTAAAATCATAGTTTTGGAAGATGTCATGGTTTGGGAAGTACCTTTAAAGTGTGTATGTGGTACGTTTCCCAATTCATCTGTATATAGTCATAGGAAGAAGTGGGAAAGCAAAATATTAACAGCAACTGCTCGTTCGGGGATCGTAAGTCATTTTACTACTCGTAGATTTTTATTTCTTCCCAGGTCTACAGCGACTGTGCCTGAGTGGTCTCTGGGACTCAAGATCCAATGAAGCTCGATTTCCTTTCCCTTCTGCTTACGTGTTAGGATGGAAAAATCAGACTAAGGGTACCTGGCTCCCTCTTCCTCAAGGAACCCCAAGCTCCAACGAAAGGAAGACCCTTCTCCTTTCTCTGTGAAGCCCCTTGTGCCTCAGTTTCCCTTTTGGTATAAGAGCTTTGAAAAACAGGTTTCGTCTGCGGACTGGAGCACCAGGTCTGGGTGGGGCGGACCCTTGGGTCAGGCTCTCCGTGCCTGGGACATGTGGCCTGTCCAACCGGTACCCGGGCGCAGCTAGCTTGATTTAAAAACGCTGACAGTTGGTACAGTAAGCATCGCTCTGGAGTCAGCCCAGCCCTCCAGCTGCTACAGAGCTAAAGCTCTCCGGGATCAGAATGACAGAAGCCAAGCATTGCCCCTTCGGGACCCTCTCTTCCGCAAAATTCTAGGAGAGCCTCTGAGCGATGGGACCCGGGAGGGAGCGGTGTCTGGGGAAACAGTTGTGAGAAACAGACATTTTTCCAGCTTCCAAACTGGAAGCGCAGAGCCCATCCCCCTTTTTTCACAGACGGGGAAACTGAGGCCAAAAGAAAGCGGGCATTGGTTGAAATGGAAAGAGAGATCTTGTTTCCAGTGTCAGGGGGTCTTCAATGAGGGGCATACCTATACATATCTACTTTCTCGGTAGTGAACTTCAGCTTACAATCTTCATGATGGGTGTGCGTGGCCCTTTAATGGTCTTGGAGTAGGGTCACTGCCAATGTGGGGATGCGAAGTGTACAGCCAGAGACACACAGTAAACCACCTTACCCTAATCTCTTGGAAGCCTTTGATTTTCTGCCCAACTAGCATGCATTTGACTTGACCCCCAGCAAGATCCCAGGGAGTGGCTCCCCCACCGATTGTGCATAGGATGCTTGGGGTGCTCCTCTGGGGATGCTCCGGGGTTGCGAGAGGGCAAAATAGCCATGAGAGAGAGAGGCGGAGCGGAGATGAGCAACCCTGAGAAAACAGAGCAAAAACCGGGAGAGCAGCGGAAAGAGAAGCCCAAAGTAGGAAAACAGAAGAAGGAGATGAAGAGAGGAAGGCAAGCAGCGAGAGGACCCACTGCTTTCTGACTGCTCGGTGCACACATCAGATAGATCCACGACCTCCCGTGGCTCACCGCATGAGAACAAAGCCTGGACTCCTAGGTTTGGGGGTGGCGGCACTCACGCCCCGGGGAGTGGCAGAGCTCGCAGGGATAGCGGTCACGGAGCTCCAGGCCTGCAAGAGCAACTCCCAGACCCCCAGGCCACATACCCCAGCCACCCCACGACCCTGCTATGCGCTGCCACTTACTTGTGGTCCATCCCGGCTCGCACGCCGCCAGCGGCCAGTGTAGCTGCAGAGCGAGAGCCAGCAAGCAGAACCGGGCGGCGCCCGCGCGCCCGGGCATGATAGCAGTGGCCCTCTCACTGTCCGCGATTACGCGTCCCCTGCCATTGCCTGTCCCGGGCCTAGCGGTGGCGGCGCTTTTCAAGCAACCGCTGGCCTAAAAGCCTCCAAGTCCGCTGCCCAGACGCTCCGCCCCCAGCCCCTCAGGGCTCAGCCTGGAGATGGAGGAGGGGAGGCGCCACACGAGGGTTGGGGGTGGTGGCTGGAGGGACAGAAGTGGGAGGCGAGAGGGACAGAAGCTTACTGGGAGCCCCGCTGATTCAGGTGAAGGGCACCCTGGGGAAGGGATGGCCAGAATCCTGGAGTAAATCCACCAAGCTTGAGGCCTGGAGAGAACACAGGGCTGGAGTTGAAAGGGTTAATCCAGACCCTTCAGCTGCACCGAGACTAGTTTACTCTGTCCTGCTTTGTGTTAAGTGCTTAAGGTGACTGAAGCTACTCCTTCCAACGCTGTCACCAGGGTTGACCAATCTTGGAGGCAGGCTCTGAAAGAGTTAATTCCAAGGCAAAGAAGTAAGTGCTAAAAAGAGTTGTTTTCTTATCAGGACTCCAATCTGGGCCTTTAGTCCATTCCTTCTGATTGGGGGGAGGGGTAAAGAGGAGGGGTGGTTTCGGATCCTGCATCCCAGAGGACAGGACATCTGTGCTCCTGAAGAGCAGAAACCGAACACCAGGCCTAAGAAACAGCCTAGACAACACTGTCTTGGAGGAGGGAAGCCAGGGGCTGCACGGTGGGGAGCAAGAGGGAGCATTTGGAACGGTGTGGGTTTAGGGTTTGGGATGGAATGGAAGATCAAACCCGCAAATAATGACTATCACTAAAGAAGTTACTGTAGCAAACACTTGGGACTTCCTTTTATTGACATTCCCTAGGTAGTAGAGCTTCAGCAACACGATCTTTAAATGAGTCCGCTGTGAACTGGGAATGTGTCTTAGAGGTAGTGTTTGTCTAGCGCTGGAGAAGCCCTGGGTTCCACCCTCAGTTCCTCATAATTCCAGTAGTGTGGTGCCCCTGAAATCCTAGCACTTAGTGGTGGAAGCCTGAGCGTCAAAAGTTCAAGGTTATCCTTTGCTATGTGGTGAGTTCGAGGCCAACCTGGACTATTGAGACACTATCTAGAATAACAATGATAATTAGCCTGATCATACATCATACGGAGGGGGTAGGTATTGGCATTATCTCTGCTTTTAAATGTGGGGTGGGGGAGCAAACCTGCAGAAAAGTGAGACTTTGGTCCAAGGTCACACAGCTAAAGTCAGGCCTTCCATTCCGGTTCACATCTACACTATTAACAACACCTGATGGAACATGCCTCATCTGAAGAACAGACACAGCCACAGGCACAAGTGGTCTGTGTAAGATTGCTTAGCAGACTTTCAAGGGGTGCTCTGGAAGATGAGTGTGGTGCCCACACTTGTCAGTTCCTTTCCCCAAACTCCTTAGACAAGTGAGTCCTGGGATTACAGGCATGACCCATCCTAAAACCCTTAAATCACCTCTAGTATTCATATTTCTGTATTTCCTATTATAAGACAGTGGTCCTCAACCTTCCTGATGCTGCAGCCCTTTAACACAAGTTCCCCATGTTGTGGTGACCCCAACCATAAAATTATTTCATTGCTACTTCCTAACCAATACTGTTATGAATCATGATGTAAATATCTGACATGCAGGATATCTGATATGCAACCCCTGTGATAGGGTCATTCGGCCCCCAAGTTGAGAGCCACGGATAGAAGCAGTCTCTGGGACTGAGTCTTTCAACTCACTCTTTTCTGACTGAGCTCTTAGTGGAATCACCTGACATCTGCATTTGTGCCTTCTTCAAGGCATTCTTGGCGCTTTACAAACATGCTCCTCAGAGCTCTGCTGCCTCTACCCATTCCCCAGCCCCAAAGTCACCTCACAGTGTCACAGGAAGTTCCAAAAACTGCACTGTTTCGGTAAGAGTGCTATCCCAAAATAACAGATTGAATAGCTAGCTGTTTGGTGCCCTGTGTAGCACAATTTACTGTCTTGACCAGAGTGCCATGGAGGCTGCTTTCTGGCAAGATGTCGCCAGCCTGCAAATGGCCACCTTCTCTCAATGTTCTGTGTTATGTCCTCATCCTTCCCCCCACCCCCACCCCCGTTCATGGGAGTGGGGAGGACACTCTGACTTCTCTTGTCTTACTAGAAGAGTCTTGTCGTACATAGGGAAAATCCCACTTGCTGACGCTGATTTGCTGCATATTTAGTGAGCAGGTACCCTTAGGTACTTAAAGTAGGAGGGGCTGCCAAGATGGTGCAGTGGATTAAGGCACTGACCTCCAAGCCTGACAATCTGAGTTTGATATTCAGGATCCACGTGGTAAAAGAAGAAAACTAACTCTGTCGAGTTGTCCTTTATACACTCGGGCATATGTGCATACACACACAGAGAGAATAATAAATTTTTAAAATGTCATTTCCTAAGAATTGAAAATTGAGGGCTGGAGAGATGACTCAGTGGTTGAGAGCACTGACTGCTTTTTCAGAGGACCCAGGTTCAATTCCCAGGGCCCACGTGGCAGTTCTCAGCTGTCTGTAATTCCAATTCCAGGGAACCCAACACCCCCGACAAAACACCAATGCACATAAAATAAAAACAAATAATTTTAAAAAAGAATTAAAAGTTGAGAGGAAGAGGCAATGAGGAACTGGCCAAGGAGGCAGGTTCACATAGTAACTGATACCAAGTCAACCAAGATCATATTATACATGCTTGGAAGACTGAAGCCTAGAACAGTGTGAGGTCATTTTTTTCTCTCCCTTTGCAACATCGAAGGCAGTTCTCCCCACAGTGTGTTGGACGCAGCATAAATTAAAGAATTTGAGTCACAAGACAGACCTCAGAGTTTCCCTGAAGAACTTTCCCTGTGGTTTCTGAGGTCCATAAAATAAATGATTAAGCAAAAAAGAAAAAAAAAAGCATTTACAAAATAAGAGGGTTTTTTTTTTAGAAAAATACAACTAAATGTATTGAGAAATACAAAAAAGTAGATGAGACATATGGAGAAATACATAGTATTCTAGCGTTCCTAGAAAGGAAAACTTTTTTTTCCTGAAGCAGGGTCTCATTAGCCCAGGCTGGCCTCAGACTTGCTTAAGATGGTCGTAAACTTCCGATCCTCAGCCATGTGCCTGAAAAGTGCTGTAATCATAGGCATGTAAACACCACTGCTGGGTTCATTTAGCATTGGGGGCCTTTATGTATGCCAGGCAAGCACTCTACCAGCTAAACTCCATCCCTAGTTTTCCCCTTAACTCTTTCTTACGAAAACTTTTTAAAAAACAGAAAAACAGAACAAGTATACTAAGGGGCTGGCGAAGTGGCTAAGTGGGGGAAAGCCCTTGCTCTGTGTGCATGAAGACCCGAGTTCAAGTCCCTGGGCATGAGAACTGGAAGGACTGTCTGATAGTTAAGAACCCTTGTTGCTCTTCAGAGTTGAATTTCTGTGTTCTACAGGCTTGTGCTGTCTGTGGCTCCAGTTCCAGGGGATCTGACGCCCTCTTCTGGCCTCCATGAGCACCTGCACATTCTTGCCATTTTCTCACGCAAAAACAAATACATAAATGAAAATAAATCTTAAAAAAAAAAGTCTGCATTCCTGCACGTGCCTGTAACCCCAGCGCTCGGGTTGGGGGGAGTGTGGGGACAGGGTAGGCCCCTGAAGCTCACTAACTAGCCAGCACAGTCACAGTTCAGTGAGAAATCCTGTTTAAAGGAATAGAGGAAGATGGTTGACCCCCTCCTCTGGTCGGCACATGGGCATGTGCACACACACACACACAGACACTAGAAGATAAGTAAACAAATAAACAAAATGATAGTACCACAGACACCACTGTATCCACCATGCACACACATCAATTGTTCATTTAAAAAATGTTTGAACCATAATAGTTCACAAAGAAGAACTAAATTTAAAAGTAGCTCATAAGAGAAGGTGCAGTGGTCAATGTACAACCTTGGAGCCAGAAGTGAGGTTGTTTAGAGCCACCCTGTGCCACGCTGACACAGGAACAAGCCAACTTGCAACTTCTGAGCCTGAAAGTCTTACCATTTATTAGTGAAGAACGTATGTGTTGGGGCTGGAGAGATGGTAAACAGGTTAAGAACACTCAGTGTTTTGCAGAGGACCTGGGTTTGGTTACCGGCACCCTTCATGATGTCTCACAATTGTCTGCAACTCCAATTCTAAGGGATCCTATACTGTCTTCTGGCTTCTGTAAGTGATACACATGCATATATGCATGCAGGCAAAACATCTCATGCACATAAAAAATACAATTAAAAATTGGATATCTGTATCTTAAAAAAGAAAGTATGCGCTATTTATCAGAAACACCACTTTCCCATGTAAAACTTAACTTAGTAATTATATTTCTGGGAAATTATCCTGAAAGCAATATACTCTATGGTTCACTTACAAATTTATGGGCTGAAATGCCCATAGTGGGTTATTTATAATAGCAAAAAATATTGGAAGCAACTTAAAGATCCAACTGTGGAGGACTTGGCCATAAATTACATAATTTCCATATGATGGATTTTTATACAGTTGCTTAAAATGTCAAGAGTTTGTGCTCTAATGTTCAGGGAAATGCAAGATTCAAAATTACAGGCAAGCAGAACCTCAGCTACACAAAAGAAAGACATTTTTTAAAAGCCTGGAAAGAAGTGTGCTGAGATGTTAGTGCAGTCACATCTATGTGGAGAGAGTGTGGGACCTTCTGTTCTGGACTTTTAACCTCTCATTCTCTCTCTCTCTCTCTCTCTCTCTCTCTCTCTCTCTCTCTCTCTCTCTCTCTCTCTCTCTCCCTCTCTCCCTCTCCCCTCTCTCCCTCTCCCTCTCCCCCAGCCCCCGTGTGTGTGTGTGTGTGTGTGTGTGTGTGTGTGTGTGTGTGTGTGTCCTTCTTCTCCTCCCTGAATAATACAACTTTAGTGATTAGGGAATAGGTAGGTTGTAAATATATAAAGAAACACAAGAAAGAAAAGGGTTAATCTCTCAGTTGTCATTTGATTTTTGTTCTTGTTTGGGGACAGGGTCTCACATAGGCCAGGCTAGCCTCAAATTCTCCATGTAGCCAAGGATGACCTCAGACTCCTCGTTCTCTTTTCTCCATCCACTTTCCAAGTTACACAGCATGCACAGCTTCTCTCTGTCTTCAGCAATTTTGCACACGTCATCTTTCTCTGAATGGCTGACTCTCTCATGCTCGTGTTGGGAAAACTGATCCTGGGTAGACCAACTAGTTCCAGCCACTCAATCCCTGTTTTTCTCCAATGATATTGTACTACTATGGTTCAAAGACCATATTATTAGAAGCCATCCTGCCAGGGATTGAATCCCTTCTCTACAAAAGCTGTGTGGCCTTAGGCTGAGAAGCCAACTGTGTCTCTGCTGCCTCATCTACAAAGGAGGGTGATGTACGTGTCTTATTCACATGGTTGTCATGGCACCTAAGCTAAGGCTGGGAGGTCATGCCTCTCTGAGTAGGTGTTGCTAATGCTTCCTGGGCTGTCCTGCAATCTTATTAATCTCTCACCCTGATTTCAAAAACCTCACCAAAAGAGTTTCTATCCTACCCTTGACTAGGATTCTCAAACCCTGCATGGTGCATGCTCCTGTACCCTCCCATACCAGGCTGCAGGGGTGGGCACTTGCCAGCCTCTCAGACCAATAAAAGTGTGCTGCCTGTTGAGGTTGACCAGAATGCTCATCCTTTATTGCATCCAATAAACTCAGATTCTCACATTAATTGGTGCTGAAACCCACAAAGGGTTTCCCAGAACATCCAGTCTGGCCAGTTGTCTTTCTCCAACCCCTGTTTCCTGACTTTCCCATCTTTCTGAGAGACCTTTACCCTCTGTTATTTGCATAAATGGTAAACCCACCCTTTTTCTTATCTTCTAACCCAGTGGTTCTCAACTTGTGGGTTGTGATCCCTCTAGGGGGTCAAATGACCCTTTCACCAGGGTCGCCTAAGACCATTAGAAAACACAGATATTAATATTATGAAGCATAACAGTAGCAAAATTACAATTATGAAGTAGTAATAAAAGTAATTTTATGGTTGGGGTGATCACAACATGAGAACTGTATTAAAGGATTGCCACATTGGGAAGGTAGAGAACCACTGTTCTAACCCAACCCCTGGCACTTGAGAGGGACATCTTGGCTGTTTCCAGAATCACACACCACATGGGCTATTCTCCCTGCTGACACAGAAATAGACAAGGACCCATCGAGGCTCAGTGCTGTTCTGGGACTTGAGCTTCATTTCAGATCCCAGGGGTCTGTCGCTCCTCCTGATAGCTCCTTTGAGAAACTCTCAGAAACTTTTCAAGGGACACTTCAAGGTAAGAAGCTAGCCTCAACCCATCTAAAAGTTACAACATGGGCAATAGCACTATATCCCAAAAGAGAGGTTTTTGGCCTGCCTCCAAAAAATTTAAACAATTGGCCTGAAAATTGGACTCTGATCTGTCCCTAATATGCCCTGAACAACAAAAACTGCCGTTGTAAATTTGGAATGTTGGACTTACAATCTTGTGAGACTTCGACAAAATTCCTCCAATGAAATTACAAATGGTCCCAGGTTTCCGTCTTGAAGGGTTTTGGAGTATTCCTGTACACTGTGTGAAAAAGTATTGCTGCCAGTGGTATAATAAAGAGCTGCAAGGCCAACAGTTAGCCAGGAGGTATAAGTGGAACTTCAGGGCAAAGGAAGAACTCTGGGAAGAAGAAAGACTGAAGCAGCATGGACAGTACAAAGAGTAAAGGTAATAAAGCCATGAGACAGAGCCGGGAGGCAGTGGCGCACGCCTTTAATCCCAGCACTCGGGAGGCAGAGGCAGGCGGATCTCTGTGAGTTCAAAACCAGCCTGATCTGCAGGAGCTAGTTCCAAGACAGCCTCCAAAGCCATAGAGAAACTCTGTCTGGAAAAACCAAAAAAAACAAACAAACAAAAAAAGCATGAGACAAAAATGGGTTACTTTGTAAGAGGTAGTTAGTAACAACCTAAGCTATCAGGTTTTATAACTAGTAAGTTTCTGTGTCATTTCTGGGGAGCTGACAGTCCCAACACATTCACTAATGTCCTTCCCTTTGTTCCTTTTGTTTTAGATATCAGGATTTTTTTTTTCTGAAACAAGGTTTCTCAGTGTAGCCCTGGCTGTCCTGGAACTCACTCTGTAGACCAGGCTGGCCTTGAGCTCACAGAGATCCAGCTGCCTCTGCCTCCCAAGTGTTGGGGTTAAAGGTGTGCTTCACCATGACCACCCTGCTATATCGGGATATTTTTTTAGCTCTACTTCTAAACTGAATTTTCCAGACTTTCTCTCAGATTTCCATTCAACAGATGAGCCCTGTCCCTAGCAAACTTCCTCAGAGGTTGCCTGCCTCCAAGACTGCCTCTACACACACACACACACACACACACACACACACACACACACACACACAGCCTATATCCTTGTCCCCACAATCTATCCACTACTGCCCTCTTTCTCTCCCTTGTAGTTAGAGTTTTTCTGACTTATCAGCCTCCTTCCACACAGAGTCTTAATATTAATTATAAATGCTCAGCCAATAGCTTAGGCTTATTACTAACTGCTCTTACATTTTAAATTAACCCATATTCCTGATCCATGCTCTGCCACATGGCGGTACTGACATTAACCTGACACATTCATCTCCTGCTCCCTCTGCATCTAGCTGGCCACTCCTCTAATTCCCATGAGTCCACCCTTCTTCCTCCCAGCATCCTCTTTGTCTGACTCTCCCGCCTAACCTCCTCCTGCCCAGCTATAGACCAGTCAGCTCTTCATTAGCTCTTCATTAGAGAGAATACATAGTCGTAGTATACAAAAAGATTGTTCCACAGCTCTCCCTCAACCCCTACAGTTTGCCCTCTCAGTGTCTTACAGAGGAACTGCTGGCCCATAGATCTTTTTTTCTTTGACATTAAAGGTCCAGTTGAATTCTGGGACCTCTTCCCTCCTGGGGGCCACTAAATCCTGCCTGCAACAAGAAGGCAGTTCTAGTCCATGTAGTTACTGATTTTTTTTAATTATTCAGGTTTGCTATAGTCAGACTTTATCTGCACTACGGCGCCAAAGGAGAGGTGCCAAAGTCAAAGCAGTGGTGGCAAGAGCAGGGCCGCTGCAAGGGGTTATGTTGACAAACGGTCCTGTTCTGAAGAATGGATAAAGAAAATGTAGTACATTTACACAATGGAGTACTACTCAGTAACCCAAAACCAGAAAGACAAATATAGTATGTAATCACTCATAAGTGGATACCAGACATAAAGCAAAAGATACCCAGCCTACAATTCACAACCCCAGAGAAGCTTGAACCCTCTTCTAGAAACAGATGGAAACAGATGCAGAAATCCACAACTTACCATTGTGCCAAGCTCCTGGAATACAATTGAAGAGTGAAAATACAAACAAAAGAGTCAAGGCAATGATGGGGAAATCCACAGAATCAGCTACCCTGAGCTAATGAAAGATCACTGACTCAGGTCTGACAAATAGAGAACCTGTATAAGACCAAACTAGAGTCCCTTAATATAGGTG